TCTGTGAGAAGTCAAAATGTATATTCAAAGTGATGGAGGGAGAAAAAGAAAGAATAATTTGAATATAAATTCCTCGAGAGAGGAGACATGGCTTAGCATGGCTTATTTCTGCCCTACGGCGATAAGCGTATCGTGAAGAACAACAAATATTAGAACAGCATCATATCATAGATCTTCACAACCTTTTCTTGAGAACAGGAAAGAGAGCGCAGCCACCTATCTTCTCAGCAAGTAGAGGGACCAGATATAAGATTGTTAAGAAAAGGAAGGAAGAGGTTAGGGCAGGGCCACGGGGTCAGGCATCTGAGAGTGGCTGGCCTTTAGAGCTGAAAATACTTCTCATCCAAAGGCCAAACGGTTTTTGAGTTTGTTTCCCTATTTGGGGGATGTTTTCCTTGAATGTGCGCCCCCCCCTCCTCCCCCCCATAAATGATAGCACTTGATTTTAGGTCAGGGTACAAGGGGTGGGTCACAGCTCACCAAACTGTGCGAAGGCAACAGGCCCAAACTGGGATTGAGCCAGGAGCCCTATCTTATTAAGTGCGACTTCCTTAGATGAGAAAATTAATGCATTAAAAAAATAAAATGTCATAATCAGAACTATGGACAGAGAAGACTAAAAATAACTGTCTTCAGTAGCCTTCTCTTGCCACTGAAGAACAAAGCCAAACTCCCAGGCCTGGTGTGTAAGGCCATGTGGATGCACGCTCCCAGGTCATGTCAAACGTATGTTCCATAATTTCCTGCAACCTTCTGCTCCAGCCAAATTGAATCACTCAGCGTTTCCTGTAATGGGTGCCCTAGAGTTTTCTGGCATCTTAACTATGCTTTATTTAGCTTATGCGAGTCCTTCTGCTTAGAATACCCACTCTCAGTCTCCATGCGTCTGGATGCTTCTCATCCGTCAAAGGTCGGCTGAAATGCCATCTCTGTCAATCAATCCATCCATCAATCAAAGACTTAACCAACCACACTGATTAAGTGTTTTTAACTGCCAGGCACTGGGTTTAAATAAACAGGAATGACTCAGATAAGGCCCCAGGCACAGGGAGGCTCTCTGAGTTTGTGGACAATGTGTATTTTCCCTATGTTGGCATATGTTTTGGCTTGTATTCTTACTTATGTACTCAAGTGTAAGATTCTCGAGATTGATGGCAAGAGAGGTCCCTGATTCACTTGTGTCCTCCTCATCGTATCCATGGAGCTCAGTAAAATGGCATCTAACAGGTGCTCCATAAATACCTGTAGAAACAATAAACCTAAGCTCAGCCAGCATCACGAAGCTCAAGACTGTGTCTGCACCACACATCCACATGTGTGATGTGGAAAGATGCCTTGAAGGAAAAGCTCTCGGTGGCTTTTCTGCTAGGGAGAAAGTGTTCAGTGTTTTATTCAAGGCCAGCGTAGGGACCCAAACTGGAAACCTGGACTTTCACATCCCGCGTGATAATGAAGAACAGCAGTGTTTCACAGCATATGAGAAATTCCTCCTGTGACAAATAATATTCCATTCCCTATCAACCAAAACTGAGATTTTGTGCTGGGTCATAGAGTTAAAGACATTTCTGTATCAACAAAATGTCTTTCGCCAAATTACGAAGGGTTGTCCACAGAGCAGCACTGAAGACAGGTCTGAGCTTTTGTTTATTTTCAGCCTCCTCCTGCTCTCTTAGTGACCCAGTTCTTTTAACCACACAGTGTCAAAGGTCAAAAGATGCAGGAAGACAATACAGAAAACCAGGATTTGGTGACTTTATCTTTTTTTTTTCTCCTTTGAAATGAAATTTAAGAAGCCATCGCCTGGACCACTATTCAGAAATAAAAAGGACCAAATTACTGATATGTTGAAGAACTTGGATGAATTTCCAGAGAATCACGTTGAGTTACAAAGGCTGATCCCAAAAGGATACATCTGGATAATTCCATTTATATAAAACTCTTAACATGATAGAATCATAGAAGCAGAAAACAGATCAGTGGTTGCAGGGGTCAGAGATGAGGAGTGGGAGGGTGCAGGGAAGTGCGTGTGGCTATAGGTGGGCAACATGGGGTGACAGCTGCTCAGCAGTTTCACCTCTGTCATGGCCAGTGTCCTGGCTATGATGCCGGGCTCTAGTTTTGCAAGATGTCACCATTGGAAGGAATTGGAAAAAACATATGAGATCTCTCTGCATTATTTTTTTACATCTACAGGGGAATCTACAATTATCTCAAAAAAAAAGTTTATATTTTCCCAAAACAATCTTGAAAAAGAAGAACAAAATTGAAGGACTCACTTTCCGGTTTCAAACTCATTACAAAGCTACAGTAATCAAAACACTGTGTTATGGGAATAAACACAGACATACAGCCCAATGGAGTAGAGAGCCCAGAAATAAATCCTCGCATATATAGTCAAATGATTTTCAACAGGGAGGCAAGACCACTCAATGGGAAAAGAATAGTCTTTTCAACAAATGGTGTCGGGAAAAGTGGATATCCACATGCAAAAGAATGAGGCTGGACCCTTATCTTATACCATATACAAAAATTAACTCAAAATGGATCAAAGTCCTGAATCCAAGAGGAAAAACTATAAAACTCAGAAGAAAATGTGGGGAAAGGCTTAATGAAATTGGATTTGGGAATGATTTCTTGGATATGATATCCAAAGCACAGGTAACAAAAGAAAAAAGTATATAAATTGGACTTTATCAAAATTAAAAACTTCTGTGCAAAGGATATAGTCAACAGAATGAAAAGGCATCCTAAGAATGGGAGAAAATACTGGGTTGTCGGGAAAGTCATGACGCATTATTGCATTGAAAAACATAGAAAAATATGTCACAACTTTCCCGACAACCCAATATTTTCAAATCATATCTTTGGTAAGGGATTGATATGATACCTAGAATATATAACGACTTGACAACAGCACAAAACACAAACGACAACATGTCCAAAGGTGGAAGCAACCCAAATGTCCATTGACAAATGAATGGATAAACAAAATGTGGTCGAGCCATACAATGTAATATTATTCAGCCTTAAAAAGGAAGGAAATTGTGACCCATGCTACAAAACGCATGAAACTTGAGGACATTATGTTAAATAAAATAAGTCAGTCACAAAAAGAAAAATCTTGAGGCTGGCTGAGTGGCACGTTGGTTAAGAGTTGGCTTGGGACGCCAGCTCTGTGCAGCAGGGCCCCCGTTTGGATCCCACATATGAGGGCCAGTGACACTGCCCTCTACAGCTAAGATGCTGAACAACAGCTCAACCTGGAGCTGGGCTGCCATGAGTCGCAGGTGATGGCGTAGACTGTAGTGGGGCTGGCCGGTAGCTGGCCTGACCTTTTGTGAGCTGCGGTGAGCAGCCATCCAATGGTGGCAACCGATCTGCCTAACCCGGGAAGAGCGCAATGATAATACCAACATGGGCCAGTGAAACAACGTCCTCCACAACTAGACTGAAGAACAAAAGGACAGCAACTTGTCTGTTCCCCTTCCCCAATTCCCCAATTTAAAAAAATCTTTAAAAAAAAAATCTTAAAAAAAAGAAAAATGTTGTATGATTCCACTTATTTGAGGTACCTAGGCTAATCAAATTCATAGAGATAGAAAGTAGAATGGTGGTTGTCAGGGTCTGGGTGGGAGGCAAAATGGGGAGTTAGTGTTTAATGGGTACAGGGTTTCAGTTTTGCAAGATAAAATGTGTCCTGGTAATGGATGGTGGTGACGATTGCATAACTGTGAATGTCCTTAACACTACTAAATTGGACACTTATTATACAAAAGATGGTAGATCTTATGCTATGAGTATGTTGCCAAAATTTAAAAAAAACCAAAAAACTGAAACAACAAAAGAGAAGTTTACTTTTTTTAAAAAGCCACTGCCTCCTTGACCCAAGTTCCTGTTGCTATGCCTTAGTTTTACAAACCAGTAGGAAAAGAAAGGTCCACCACTTAATAAGCCCATCACTCTAAAAACCTCACAGACTTTTAAAGTCTAGGATATTGGCCCACCAAGCTTTTCGAATGTCTTTCATTCACAATCCATTTTGATTCACATTCCCTTTGCCTGTTAATTCGCCTGAAGTTACTATCAACTTTTCTTTCGGTGGTGATTAAAAATGTACTACTTATTTATATTAACACTTGACCTTAAATAGCAGCAAATGGAGAAATCAAAGCCAGAAATTAGTCATGAAGTATAAAATTGAGGCTTTAATGAAAGACCACATTATTGTTTTGTTGGCTCCCACCAGACCCAAGGCTAATGAGAATAGGACTTGTCCATTTTGTTTTTCACCACATAGTAGATGCTCAATTAACTCTGTCAGCTGCATAAAGCCAGCATTTCTGTGCCTTCTAAGCATGGCCACCATGTCTGCCTGGAAATGTTTATGATGTCACTGCCTCTTTTTCAAACATGTCTGTTAGTTGAGCTTGGTGACTCAACTAAGAAAAGAAGAGGAATTTCCAAGGAAATTTCATGGAAAATAACCTTTTTCTTTCTTTTTTTGAGAAGTGGAGAGAGAGCTACATATATTATACAGAAACAACCCTTTTGCTTTGGAGTTATTAACTACTGGTTAGATTGTCTCTACAAAGGAAAGAAAACAATCTGAGTGGTTAGCGTTATACTTGGCATACTCTCCGTTGCAAATAATCCCCAGGAATGCAGTCATACTATGTGGCTCGAACTGAAAGCCCCTCAGTGCTGTGTGCTACGCTTCCTTCTAACTTGCCCCAAGGGAGCCACAAAGTCACCGTCACAACTTTACTCCTCCCGGACCAACATCATTTTTCATAATTACAGAATTTTAATTTCTTTTATTTGAGCGTGCAGCCTTTGATGCATTGAGCCAATTAAACGAAACTTGCTTTAAAACCAAAGGTCAAAAAGGGAATTTTGGTAGAAAGTATAAAAGGGAATTTTAAAAAGGAACCCAACATGGTAGCTGTTACTGTCATGTAAAGGGGGATTTTTCCATTATCCACACAGAAACGGGGTCTGACCTGCCAGCCCGGGCTGGTTCTGTTACTTTTTTCCTCCTTGAATCCTCCTCCACCTGCCGTCTTAGATGGAGCTGGCTTCTCAACAGCAACTGGACAAGGTTCCTGAAAGGAAGAACATCCCCTCAACATCCACATAGTTGGGAAATTCCGAGTTTGAAATAAACACAAAAGACAGGCTGGGTGGTCACCAACATTTATTTCTAGTTAAACCTTGTAATAGCAAAAATGTCACTTTACCTGGTTTCTGCTGTAATCAGAGGAGCTGCAAGTTGCTGTGAAGGGGTGGATGCACTTTCTCGCACTTTTACACCAAGCACAGCCGGTTCCAATACACACTGGGCATCTGGCAACATGGAAAGCCAACTTAAGTCCTACATTTTTAGGAAAACCTGCGTATCCTAGAACTTCCTTGGTGATGTGGCATGTGAGCATTTGAAAGAAGGAAAAATATCCCTTAACAGACTGTGATGAACCCAGGGGAGAGAGGACAGTCCTTTGAGGCAGGGGATGGAGCACCGGCTTTGTGTCCTGCTCTGGGCATCATACCTGCAGGGGTGTTGCCATGGAAACTTGAAGCTGGGGTCCCCAGCAGCACAGGTAGACAGCAGGAACCCACTGGATCTGTTTCTGAATCCAGGTCTGCTACTTGTCTACCTTCAGGTAAATTTCCCTCTGGAGATTGGTCTCCCCCTACCTCGCACGCCGGCCCCCACCCCACCCCCAAATCAGCATGTCCTCACTCACTGGAGTGTAACCCTGCCAACTGCCTGGAAGATGCGAGGCCAGAGGTGTTAACCTGGCAAGCAGAGGGAACGGGGGTCAGTGTTTGCTTTGTAATCAAATTGAGGAAGAACAGTGTCATACTAATCAAATAACCTATCATGCCTGGATAACAGTGGTGAGCTTGAAAAGCACTTACTAGGATCATCAGAGTTAAAGACGGAACGATAAATATAGAAATCAAGGCGGGTCTGGAAACAGCCACGGGAGGCCAGGGACAGTGAGAGGACTAGTGCAGGGAGAGGGGCGCCATTCCTATTTTATGTATTCTGCAAGAAATGCCCAAGCATTCTGAGATTCTGACCGATAGAAGCTGCAGTTTCAGTGGAAGAAGAAAACCCAGACCCAGTGTTTACCTGGCCACCTAAGTGCACTGGAAGCAGGTTTGTGAATTGCACTCCTCTCCTACCTACCTCTCAGGTGGGATTACTATACAAAGGCTTTTCTAAGGGAAGCAGGTACCCAAGGAAAGGGCACTCAGGCTCTGGGGAGCTGTGGTCTGAGGTCTGGTTGTCCAGCTGTAAGACCCGGTAAGTCACCTTCTTTTGTCTGGCCTCTATAACTGGGGTTGGAGGAGCAGCACCATGACCCCACTCTCTTTGAGCTATAACATTCTATTTAACTCTCCCCCATTTTTTCCAATTTTCATGGACTTCTGAGGCTTTCTGTATCAAGTTTGGTTTTTTCCCCCCTCTCTAAATTCATTTGGCTTATTAGAAATGACTGCACTGAAATCCCGCAGGGGTAAAAATGAGCTGCGGGGACTCCTGTTCTAGTAGCTGTAGAGTGGCCCCCCAACTCAGTTTTGAGATTGAATTCATTTTCCTCCAAGAAACAATGATTACCAGGCCAGGCCAAAGAAGCTCACATTCGGTGCTCATAGAGTTAGACAATCAAATCACTGAATGAACTATAGAATCACTAATAATGCCGCTTCACATTGTTTCCATGGAAACCTCCATCCCATCTTCCAAATGAAAACTCAAGAATCTAAGAAGCATATTTCCTCTGGCTTGACTCTACTTCAGGAGCGAGGAGTGAAGTGTGGCCCTAACTTGGGGGGCTATATAGCTCAGCAGCGTCAAAGGTGGCTTAAAAAAAGGGGGGGGGCAGAATTGACATTTTTTTCGTTAAATTTAATGGGGTGACATTTAAATTAAATGTTACTGGTTAATAACATTATCTGAGTTTCAAGTGTACGTTTCTTTAACACATCATTTATATACCATATTGTGTGTTCACCACCTAGAGTCAGTTCTCCTTCCATCACCATGTATTTGATCCCCTTTACCCTCTTCATCTTCTCCCCCTCTTCTTCTTCCCCTCTGGTAACCACCACACTGTTGTCTGTGTTTATGGCTTTAACAAGTTCTTTTGAAAAAAGAGACTTGACCTTGTCCTTCTCCTTGAGTATGACTTGCCCTTATCTCATGCTCACACCCTCTCCCTGGAACCAAATTCCCACAACCATTCTGTTCAGGAGAGAAGCTGGCAGCACCCCTTGGGCTGTCCTCACTTCAAAGCCACCTCTTGTATAATATTTCCCTCTTGGTGGAAACACCTCGGCACAGTTGTGTGCTCCTCAGCTGCTCTACCTTACTTATTAGGGTTTGAACGAGTGAGCTGATTAGCTCAGGGGCCCTCCCACCTCCCATTAGGCTATGCTCCAAAAGGTACTTCGGAAAGTTCCACTCCACAAAAGAGTTCTTTAGGAAGTCCAGGAGTAAAGCAAATAAATAAATTAAAACCAATGAGAGAAAATTTAAATTTCAAATAAAATCTTACCCTCTTAATGACGAGCAGTTGGTAAAGTTGAATCTTTTTGATAAATGCCAAGAATCAAAGGAGAACGTCACGTTCACAGCTGAAACATCTGGAGCAAAGGGGGAAAAAAAAGTCATTTACGGTGGAGTCCCGCTATCATCAAGCACAGCTGTAAAAGCAAAAAATAAATATTTTTGCCTCTTCTGCATAGAGGGTGGGGTGTGCCAGCTGTTCTCTCCCATTTCAATCAGTATGTAGTTCTTCCCGTGGGCCGTTCACGTCAGGCAGCCAGAGTGCACAACACAAGGCTCCAAACAGACCCGGGTGCACCTCAAAATCCGGGCCTCCCGTGGATAATCACTAGGAAAAACCATTTTCCAGCCCATTTACATCTCATCCTCTCCCCGGGATCACTATCTCAACTTGTAATTGGCCACAGCATAAGAATAAAACAAGTCACTGAGCAAGAAGTGCCTAGAACATGAGAAAAAGAATGTGAGAGAGGAAATCCTGCACCTTCAGAAAAATTCGCACTCCAAATATTTCCCTAACAAACTCTAAAGTGTGGTTCCCGTGGGCTGGGATCCATGATGTTCTTAAAGTCAACTGTCGCCAAATCTATGATGCAGATTTTCTTATTTGCCTTTGAAAACCTAGCCATTGGTTAGAAAACCTCAAAAGAATAAAGTCAGAAAGATAAACACTGTGCTAAATCAGCATTAGAGAAATGTCACATTTCCTGTATCTCTTTAACTTACATGTACTCTATCAAAGATGATTCCCAAACCCAGTTGTCTATCAGAGTCACTTGAGAAACTGATGAAAATATAGATTCCAGAGCCACGTTCCTACATATCAGACTCAGCGGGCCTGGGAATCTGTGGTTGGCAACATTCCCCACATAATGATTGTATATCCAGGTCTGGGTGCCTTCCAGGGACCAGTGCTACTCTGTGATGTTTTCACAGTCACCCATTTTGGTATTAACATCTTCTTCCTTTTATGAATTAGTGGGGATCATAGATGATGCTTTTAAAATCAAAGTCTTTACTTGATAGAATAAGAAGTTAGCCAAGGGGCCAGCTGAGTGGCTCAGTTGGTTAAGAGTTGGCTTAAGAGCACAAGCTCTGAGCAACAGTGCCACCGGTTTGATTCCCACATAGGCCAGTGACACTGTGCCCAAGCTGAGCTGTCGCTGAGCTGCCAACAGGTGACAGGATGGCTCAGCTGGTGTAACAACAAGATTGCCTGTTCAATGGTGGGCTAGGCCCACCTGCAACTAAGACTGAACTTCGCACCTTGAGCTGAGCTGCCGCCTGGATGGCTCAGTGGACAGAGCATGCGCTCTTAACAACAAGGCTGCTGGTTCGACTCCTGCATGGGATGGTGGCTATGCCCACCCGCAACTAAGATTGAACATAGCACCTTGAGCTTAGAGGCCATGAGCTGCCGACGGGAAGCCAGATGGCAACTGGTGCCCTCCACAACGAAGATTGAAGAGCAACAACTTGGCTGGTCCCCTCCCCCAATTCCCCAACACTGTTCCCCTCCCCCAATTCCCCAATAAAATCTTAAAAATAAAAAAAGAAGTTAGCCGAATCTTGTTGGCACCTCGAATTTTCTTACTGAAATTGTATTAGGGTGTGATTCCAAAAGTCTGAGAACCCTTCTATTAAGTTGCTTCTCTACAGCAACAAGATTCATTCTGAAAGCCAGGATGACCCATAAAATTCTGCTCACATAAAGTAGGTATGTGTAAAATGATAATCCTGTGCTAAACACAAGGATGTTTGGAAGGCTGGCATGACCTCTCAGCAAGGGCAGTTGCTAAGTGTTCGTAGAACAAACATATGGGCATTTATCGCCGAGGGACACCCAGTGAAAATGCATGTCAGGGGAATCTACAAATGGCCAGTGACGAAGACTAGCAAGTTGCACTTTTCTGAGTATCAACTGTGCACAAAACACCATTGGGAAATATCACAAGGAAATGAACATAGATGACCTCTGCTATCAAAGCATTTACAGTTATTCTGGAAGACATAAAATAGGTAGACATAACAGGTAGAAAACATAATGACAGCAGACAAGGGAACACCCTATGAGTGGTCTGAGGTAGGTCCATGTAGCACCTGGGTAGCAACACTCGGGTACCTGTGGGGGACCAAGAGGGCGCTGGAATGACCAGGACAGTTAGAGCTGAATCCAGCAAGGCTGTGTGGAAGAGGTGACTTCCCCCAAGGTTTCAAAGCAGAAGGGCAACAGGATCTGGTGCAAGGGGTGAGGTTACTCTAGGTCATGGACAACGGTTTGGCAGTGGCTGCTGGCTGGCTGAGCGCAAAAGGTGGGAAGTGAGATTGCCTGCTTAGAATATGCAAAGCATCCAAAAAAGGGCAGGGGAAAGGATGGGTGCAATTGATGGAGACTCTAAAAGCAACCAGCTAGCTTTACAAGGTACTCTCAAGTACTTCAGAAACATATTTTACAGGTGAGCAAGATCTGCATTTTAATGACCAAATTTAACTAGAAGCATATCACAAAGGCTGTATAGTGTGGACAAAGAAAAGTGGAAAATTGAAATAATTTCTCAAGCAATTCAGATTCAAACAGCTACTGTGAGCCCAGTGGCTGAGAGGTATTTTTCATCTTGGCTCACTGGCCTGGTGTATTCAATGCCTTTTTGAGGGATTTAGGATTAATTAGGTAACACCAGCTCCTGCCACACAACTCAGCTCCATTATGATCTTCAGTCATTCCTGGAAGACTGTGCCATGAACTTGATTCTACTTCCAGCCTTTCTCAACCGAAGGGACTCGTGAATTCTCAATCTACCTATTGTAACTCCTAACCATCTCTGAAATCCATGCACTTCTCTCCATCCCTGTCTGCCTCTACTGCAGTTCTCACTGTTCCCCTCACCCCCTCATTGCAACAGCCTTCCTTCTGTCTGATCTTTCGGAACTCAGATTTTCCCTCCTCCAGCCCATTCTCTACCTGCCGCCCTTCATTCATTCAAGCATCAAAAATCTATTGACTGGGGGTCGGCTAGGTATCTCAGTTGATTAGAGCATGAGCTCTGAGCAAGAGGGTTGCCGGTTCGACTTCTATATGGGCCACTGAGCTGCGCCTTCCGCAACTAGATGGAAGACAATGACTTGAGCTGAGCTTCTGCTGAGCTAGCAGTGGGCAGCTGGATGGCTCAGTTGGTTAGAGCGCGTGCTCTTAAAAAGAAGGTTGCCAGTTCAACTTCCGCGTGGGATGGTGGACTGCACCTCCCACAACTAGATTGAACTCGGCTACTGGACTTGGAGCTGAGCTGCACCTTCCACAACCAGGATTGAAGGACAACTTGACTTGCAGTTGATGGGTCCTGGGAAAAACACACTGTTCCCCAATAAAGTTAAAAAAAATATCTATTGACTGTAAATGGCTACCTTGTGTGCCAGGAACATTGTGCCTTCTTTGGGATCCATTTTCTATCACCCTGCTTTCCACCTGTCCCTACTGCTCCTCAAACAAAGCTTTTCCTCTCCTGGCCATCACACTAGTGGGTCTCTGCTTGGAAACTCTTCCCCCTCTTCTTTGTCTGACTCAACCCTACTCATCCTCCAGGAGGCATTTCTTGCCCCTTCCCTCCCACCCCCCGAAGTCCAGTTAGGCAGCCTTTTCATGTGCTTCCCGTGGTACATTCTGCTCCCTGTATTTACACACTGCATTGTAATGAGTTGTTTACTTGTCTCTACCCAATAGGCTATAAATACCATGACCAAGGACTAGGTCAGTCTTTTTTGGTTACTGTAGCCCTAGCACCTAGCATAATACCTGGCACATAGTAGATGTTCAATAAACACTTCCTGTATGAATGAATGAATGCAATGAACTTAAGATGATAGAACACTGGCTGCTTTATTTTCTCTTCTCATCAAGGACATTCCAGCTTTTTGGGTGTCTAAATTCTCTGAACCATTTGGGTAGGATCAGCTCCATGGACTCTGGCTTTACTCTCCTCACCTATCCAACATACTGTCTGTCCTCTGTCATTCTCCAGTCACATCTGAGGGTGGGGTCCTGCAGTCATGGATGAGGTGGAGCAGAGGTGAGCAGGACGGAGGGGAAAAGCAGGAAGCAGGGGGTAGGGAGAGAGTGAGTCTATAGTGTGGGACACTACTCCGATTTCCTGTCATTTCACTTGCTTCCTAGGCAATCTGAACTTGGGAGGTTCTCTTGCCTTCTTCACTTTCTAACAGAAAAGCAGCAAAGAGTCCACTTACCTTTGTAGGCCACTCTGGTTGGGATGCTGCAGGTGCAGGTCTTGTTCGGGGGACTTTTACCTTCGCAGAGCTCCCTGCCAGTTTCCACGTTCTTCACCATGCACTTGGAGTGTCTTGGAAAAACGCTTCCCACCAAGGTCACTATAGTCTATGTGGGGAAGAAGATGATTCAGGAATTAAATCATTGTGTTTTCCTCCTCTCCATCCATCCTAGAGCCTTAAGAAAACTCGCCCTCTGACCTGCCATAGAGGAATTTCTCAGATTGCGGATGTAAAGGAAGAGATGTTTTATTGGCTATCGGGTTTGCTCTTTTGTGAATCGCATATTCATATTCTTGGACTGTTATTTTGCTTTGTGTGTATTTTTCTTATCAATTTTAAGAGCTCTCTGTATAGTATAGATATTAATCCTTATCTGTCATATTACTGACACATATTTTCTCCTAATCTGTTTGCCCTGCAACTTATGTGTGTGCTATCTTTTATCCTACACATGATTTTATGTAACAAATACAGGGTTTCTTGACTTGGTTACAAAGTTCTTCTCTAAATCTTGCTTATTGGCAAATATAAATTGTTCCACCATGTTTATGTTTTACTTTTTAAACTTATATCGTTAATGTATCTGGAATTTATTTTCATATATAGTGTGGGATAAGGGTTCAACTTTATTTTTATCAAGATGGTAAATCAGCTATGTCATAACAATTTAGAAAACAAAACAAAACAAACAAAAGCCTCTTTTCCCACTGAACTGAAATACCATTTTTGTCATATATTAAATTACCATATATGTAGAATCTATTTCTGATCTCTGCTCTGTTCCAGTTATCTATTGATCTATCAATACTTCTATTCCAATGTCATCAAGTGTTTATTACTGTGACTTTAAATATATTTAACATTTGATAAGGCAAATCTCTCCTTATTTGTCCTGATTTTCATGATTCTCTTGGCATTTCCTAGACATAATTCTTCCATATGAAGTTTAAAATCATTTTGTCCAAAGAGGGTAAGGAGACTATGACTCTAACTGGAACTGTAGTAAATACTTGCATTAATTTTAAGATAATTTACACCTTTATGATATAAGTATTCCCATCCAAACACATGATTTTTTTTTTCATTTGTTTCTGTTTGACCTGGGGTTCATTTACAAGGGTGTACCTTGATTTCCCAGGTGTTACACTAAAGGAAGGTGGCCTGTAAAATCTACTTTTAGAATTATTTAATATTTTGTTTGTTGTCAAACATACATTCAAATTTGGAGGTGGAGGTTGTTTTGTGTGTGTGAGTGTACACAAGGGAACACAAAAAGAAAAATCTTGAAATTTCCGATAAAGCAACTTTTTCTGCAATGAATTATCTAAAGGAACAAGGCAGCCAGTTCACCTGTTGAAAAGGAAAATTAAAGAAATTATTATGTCAATGGTGAACCCCTTTTGCATCAGATGTATGAAGGGGACCCGGTGGGCAGGTAGGCTAAGTATTAGGAAACTGGGAGCAGAAAAAGTGGTAACCCCATCATAGGATGAAAGCTATGGTCCCAGGCACCCTCGGAGGTGTCATCTTCTGTTATACTTCTGACCTCTGCCCCAGACTTTCTGTATGGCTACCTAGGAGTCTGCTGTCTTTTGACCTGTATTCTAGCCTTGGGGTCACCCCCATCTTCACATTTTCAAAGAATTCTGTTTCTGAGCCATAGAATCATGCTGGAAGAAGGCAAATTCTTATAAGAACTGAAGTCCAACCATCTCTAGGCCATTCCCACTAGCTCATCTTTACCTTCGCTAGCTGAACTCTCATCCATCTGCCTTCTGCACCCTAGCATTTCTATCTGCACCACACATCTTAGCACATGATCGCATCACATATTAGCCTATGTACATATGTGTTTTAAATGCATTTCATTGTTCAAACATTATAGCCAAAGTATCAGAAAGTTTTTTAAATCTTATTTTCACCAGCTGTTTTAAATTTTCCACTTTTCCTCCTAGTTCTCACACACATAGTTTTTGCATCCCTGTAATTACTGCATTTAAGTCCATGAATATTTATCAAGCTCTTAACATGTGCCAGGTTCTGCACAAGGTATTGAATACTTTAGTGAACCAAACACCTACAGTCCTTGCCCTCAAAGAGCTTAGTAGAAACTGTGGGAAATTCCACTAGACTGAAACTGGAGGGCCACACGGTATGAAGAGATCATTAAGCAATGCCAGGAGCCAAGGGCTAGAATGCTACAGTGGAAATGGAAAAAAATGGACGGATTTAAGGTGCCCTTTGGAGGCAGCACGGGGCAGGACAGAAAGCGTGGTGTGTGGATGCGAAGGACTTTCATGAACAAATGGATGGATGGAAGTGCCATGCACTGAGATGTGATACACTGAAGGGGAAGCTGACTTTGGGTAGAAAATTCAAGATTTCCGTTTTGGACGTGTTTAGTTCAAGATACTTGTGTGATAATCAAGAGGATATGGGCCTGGAGGTCAGATGATCAATCAGGGCTGGAGACAAAAGAGACATGAACATATACATGATATATGAAGCCATGGGAGTGGATCAGATTGTCTCTGGACAAAGTAGAGGAGCAGAAGAGAGGAAGAGCCAAAACTGGGCCTGAAACAACTCTAATACTGAGAGTCAGGGCGAGAAGGAGCCCGGCAGGGAGGCTGAGGAATGGCCAAAGAGAAGGAAAGGAGCAGAGAGAGAGCATGCGATGGAAGACGGGGTCTCCGGAATGCAGCCAGTAGCCAGGTGAGACGAGGATTTGTAGCATCTGCTTGATGGCTACGTGGGGTTCACTAGTGACCTCAGCAAGAACAGTTTCAGGGGAACAGTGGGGCAAAACCCAGTTGGGAGTTGATCTGAAAATAAGAGAGAGCAAGTTTTTTTAAGTGCAGCTAAGGAGAGGGTAGCCAGGGAGTTGAAGGCATTTTTGCATGATTTGGGTTTCCAGGTGAGTATGGTTAAAAAGCTGAAGCCTTCACTTAATAAACCCAAGATGGGAATCCTTACCAGTTGATAGTTCTTCCATGAGCTACACTGGATAAGAGGGAATGTAGACACAAAGGATCAGGTAAACATAGAAAGTTTGAGTGTTAATTAGGCGGTCATGTCCACGGGGTCCAAGAACTGCCTGCTGCCTTACATTCTACCAGGTCATCCAACATGCCTTGTTCTATTTAACCATTCTCCTTATTACCAAAAAGCACCTTATTTCCAGGTTTCTAATTCTATAAATGCTACTGCTATAGGATCTGCATGCTTATGTTTTTTCTTCTTTGAACATACTTCTTCAGAATCCTAAACCTGGAACTACTGCTTCAAACAAAACAAATGTATTTATGACTTTTGAAACATATTGCCAAACGGCTTTCCAAAAGATTGTGCTAATTGGCATTACCAATGCTAGATGTTAGCATATCTTATTATCACTTTAATTTGTATTTATTTGATAGCTGGTAAAGCTGAACATAGTGCCACGTCTATGTCTAACTCCCTAAACCTCTTTTTATGAGAATATATGCTTTTGCCCAATTACTTTCTGGTGTCTTGATGTTTTTCTTTTTAATTTCTCCCAGCTTTAATATTTTGCAATTAAGATTTTGCCTGTTGCAAATGTTTTCCTAAAGTCTGTGCTTTAGTTAGCTCTTATTTTTTTGTTGTATATATTTTTTAAACTAAGCCAAGTATATGAACATTTTTCTTTTGTTATTACATACAATATTGCTTCGCAGCTAAGAAAATTATACTTTCAAATTATTTGATGTTCAATTCTATTTTCTGTTAGTTTCCCTGTGTCAGCTTTTCATATGAATTTCTTAATTAGCCTAAATTTTATTTTTATATTTAATGTAAAATGTAAATTAAATTACAGTTTCATATTGTAAGCCAGTTACCTACCTCAGCACCTTTCATGAAATAATTATTTTGTTTTCTATTATTTTATGGTATTTGATATTTAAGTTTTTTACATTTACTTCTGAGCTTTCTACTCTAGTTCATGGATCTATATTCTTATTTTTAAACCAGAATCATGGGCTGAATTATTGTCGTTATATGTATGTTTACAATCATATGTAAATGGTGTTGCTTAAATAATTTTCTTTTTTTCAAAATATATTTTGGATATTCTTGACCAGTTCATATTATTCCAGATGAATTTTATATTAATTTTAAGACCAGGTCTATTCAGATTTTCACTGGGGTTGCCTGAAATCTAGAAAATAGATTGAGGAAGAACTGACATTTTTTATGATGTCTTCCCACCAAGAAACACAGTATGTGTCTGGATGTATTCAGCATGTCTTTCACATTCTCCAACAAAATATTTTATATGGTTTTGCTTTCATTTGTATTTATGCTTTTAATTGATAAGGTTTCCCTATTATTAATTATAAATAGCCTCAACAGACCACTGCCCCACATTGTAATTGCTATTAGAAAAAATTGCTTAAGACAAGTTGTTGCAAAGCCAAAATTACTATTTTTGGTGCTGTCTTCAATATGTATCTCCTGGCAAAATGATTTTAAAATATAAGGTATATACCTTGCTTTTTAAGATTATTCCTGAGTATTTCTGTTGTTTTTAATGAATGGGATCTTTTATTAATGGACATTAACGGTTTGTTTTACCTCACATGTAATAAGGTTATTGATATTTGAATGTTTATTGAACACTTACCACTTCATTTTACTTTTATTAATTTGAAGTTATAAAAGCTAACATGCTTAGATTTTGAGGATATACACATAAGAGTGGCAAATAGTGATAGTTTTGTCTATTCCGTTCCAATAATTATTCCTATTACTTGTTCCTTGTTTTACTGGATTGGACAGAAGGTGAAAAATAATGTGTTTTATATCAGTGATGGTAGAGTTCCTTGTTTTCATTCTGATTTGTAAAAGAATGTTTCTAGCGACTCTCCTCTAGGGACCATTTTGTGGGAAATAACTTATTCCTATGTCCTTTTGTGTTTTTATCACTGTAAGCCATTTTTACTGAATGTTAAAATCTCCTTATAGGTATACACAAACATATAACTTTACAGAGTGCAAAAATGGGATCATGACATACATTCTTTTTTGAGTTTGTGCATGTGAAGTTTTCAGTTTTCTTCTTTTTATATGTATATGTCCTTCCTCTCCACCACGTCAGTCATTCCACCAGGAGAGCCCATGTTTACAACCTAGTATGAATTCTTTCATATTTTTCTCCAATATCAAATAATCATACAGAGACATATATAAACATATATAGGAACTTTTAAAATCAATACAAGATCATGCTATACATACTTTTCTGCATCTGACTGTTTTTACTCAATCCCATGGAAATCCCTCCAAGACAATTGAAATTGCTCTAATTATTTCTTTTTAATGCTGATTCCTTAATGAGGATATACTATCTTCTACTTGTTTTGTGTAAAGAGACAAAGCTTCTTAGGAACAGAGTCTCTGCATTATATGAGAGGGGATGGCTTCTGTACCTAGAAAGTTACTAGAATGTTACTAGTTAGATAATGGGGAGTTCCCAAATACTCTATGAACCGAGCTAATAGGCAGAATTGAGGAAATCCATAGCCTGCCATCTCTGTAGGTCAGGATGAGGTATTATTTAGATAAACAAAAATCTGAGACTTTCAGGTAAGTCACAGATGACCATAAGGAGAGAAATATTTTGAAATAATATGACCAAGAGATGGAATCAGATGTCTTATCAACAGTGTTAAAATAATGAGTCCTAAGTTGGTTTCCAAGAATAGCTTTATTCAAATCACTAAATTCTTATCTCCTTTACCTTGAGTGTGATGGTGAGCTGGAGAGTGAGGTAATGGTTGTGTGTGTAGGAAGACTCTTGAGGGATCAGGGTAAACCACAGTGGGACTCAGGATGCGGGGGAAAGCACTAGTGGTTGTTTGAGTGGTGAACATATTTTGCAATGTTCCAGATTAAATATAAATGGTGGTTAATTTATACTAGTGAACTCAAAGATAGGTAAGCAAATTGGTAAGCCGCACATTTTATTTAAACAAGTTACTTTCCCTCACTATATTTAGCTGAATTATTACCCTTAAAAATTTCAAAACGATGCAAGAAAAAAAACCTTGCATAATCTTAACCACTTATCAGAGTCCTGAGTATATTCAAGGATCATGGTATTTTCCTCCTACCATTCTCTATCAGCACCAAACTCAGCTATTTTTTTCAGACTGAGATGAGAAATAAAAATTTGGCCATACCTATGCTTACAGGCCTAAACATCTTTTTTCACAGAACCGATTCACTCCTGACTCAGGCCTGATGGAGACTGGATGAAGGTTTTGAAAGTTCTTTTTTTATACTATCCCCCCAGGAGGATAACAGAAAGTGACACTGGCCAAATAACTTTAAATCCGTGAGTTCTAATCAGTTATGGCTTGAAAGCTCGATTCTTGTATTATTTATCACTCATTAAATGTTCTGGCTCTCCTTTATTAAATGTTAAATCATCTTAAGTGGTATGGTTCTTGCCATTTGAAATGGCAAAGAGTAAGAGTAAAGAGCAAGTGGCCCATTTCCTTGTTAACGTGGCATTCAAATAAAACAGAGCAAGCTCAACAGGCAGGTCAACTGGCTGCTAATGGGGATTCAGTACAATTATTCCTAATACAAGAGCCATAATTAGGGAGAAAACGTCTTCTTACAGCACCACTGAAATAGCACGGCAGGAATTCCATTTTCCCATAGGGTGTGGTTGGTGTGTAAATCAGAAAATGCTTGAATATGCTCATTTCTTCCTTTTTCTCATCCAATGACAAGGCTCATGTGATGCCAACAGCGGTACAGCCATCGCAGGGGCCCACTGGCTTTCTTTCCAAGGCATCCCATTTTCAATATTCACTGCCCACACTGGTTTCTCTCCCCTCTACCAATATTACTTGAAGCCATGTTTTTAAGGCAGTTGTCCGGAGAAGCCTGAACACATTAGGAAAAGGAACCAGAAAACAAAACAAAATTCTACCCTTAAGCCACCCTGAAGGCATCTTGTTGGCCATGAATCTGAACTTCTTTTTTCTCTATTTTTAAAATCAATATGTTTTTCTACTATATGAAAAGTCCATCTTTTCTTTAAATTCAACTATGAGAGTCATCTGCAGTTCCACAAGCCTACCAACTCCACATGGGCAGGCTCAGGGTGTGTCTTGTTCTCTGCTTGTGGTGTGTGTAGCATCTGGTAGGCATTCAGTGTTCGTTAACTAAATGAATGACTCTCCTAACCAAGCTCATTTAGTCGCTAACAGATATTTTACACACAAAAGGAAGTTAGCATCAATCGTGCAAAATAAGACAATACAATAGAGACAAATAAAAATCTTTTCTCTTACCTGATCTTTGCTTCTTTGAGATATGTGAATCTGAGGGCACTTTTTAGCTCCTGATATAATATCCAGCCAGTTTTCTGAGTTCTCTGAATGTACACAATCATCTTTAAAAGTACACCTATTAAAAAAAAAGAGGGGGGCAACAAAACAGCAACCCCACACATGCATTAGTTAAAACTTTCTCATACTGGCTTCAGTATAAAATGCCAGGCTTTGTATAGTGGGTTATTGATTTGGAACGAGAATAGGAACATGATGCTAAAACCATGAAAAGCAACAGGAAAATAGCAGAGTGTTTTTTCCATCATGTCTCAGAGTAGAGAACAAATGCAGACAACACATTGAACTTAGACTCCTGAGCCATCTCTCAAGATGACATCGCCAAATACCTCAAAAGCACATACTCTCATAGATTCTGAAATTATAGAGCTCCCTTCTAGAAAAACCGAGCAAAGCACAGCTCAAGAAAAGGTTTATATATTGTATACACTTTAGGTTTGAAATTCATTTCCAGACTATTAACCTAATGTGCACATTTTTTGTGTGTTTTAAGAAAAAGTTACTATTTGATGCTTTGCAGTACGATAACTGAATAAAAATATGTCAAGGGCAATGTCTTCCCAGGACTTAGATAAGACATTCCACAGCCATCTGCTACAAAACATTTATTTATACAGATGCATCAAATTATATCAAAAGATATAGGTGAAACACTTCCCAGGGCCACTTCCCCAAGTCAGCCAGCTCAGGGGATGCCCCCAAAGTCCAAGCTGTGGCCAGGGCCAACCACTTTGAGAAACATGATTTGATCACTAGTTTGCTTGATGTCTCGGTCACTCTAGGTCACGTTAACTTGGGAACTCTTGTCTCACCAGAAGGGCTGTGAACCCGACAAAAAGAATGAATGCCAAGTGCCATGTTATTTTCAAATGGTATTGGACTCCGCAGACATTTCATTGAATAATGTCAAGGAAACCACAAAGCATCTCTGTTATCTATGCCTTCTCAAGGCCTAAGGTTAAAATGAAGGGGTGTTGGGCAGAACCAGTGACAGAGTTTCAAAAGAAACTGAAAATTCATAAGTCATGAGATTGAAAAGTAACCAAATGATAACTACATTTAGCTGTGGGGAGTCCCTTAACGGATCTGAGTTGAATGAGAGGTGGGCCCAAATAGTGTATTTGACATGCGCTGACATTTCAAAAGCGTTTTACTTCTTCCTCTTTTTTTTTTCTCTCTCTCTCTCTTTTTAAAATTCTTAAGAATTTAGGCCCTGTGTCTTTGTCTTTGAGCTCTGTGCTAATCTGAGTTTGACAAAAATAGAACAGGAAGCCAACAAGTTTCATTAAACATCATCGCCAAGCACAATATTCTCAGCATATCATGGTATTCTGACATTTTGGGGAACCCTGCTTACGGTGAGCACATTTGTGTCTGAACTCCCCTACATCTGTGTTAGTTCCTTCTCCGATATCATGACCAGGAGGATTTTCATCAGCAATTCTCCAAAGCCATAAATTTATCTGTCCCTTGATGGCTAGCTTGTCCGTCACAGACATTAAGTTCAAATTAAACCACCTCTCAATGTCAGGAGGAGTTTGCAATGGAGGGACAAGAACTGCTGGATTGAGAAACAGAAAATGACAATGCTGGTTCCTTATTTTGTAACTGAAAGAGATTATGTCTGTCAAAACCCACCTGCCTTTCACGGGCACTCTGGTTTCTATAAGGTACTTTCTCTGCCCATAACGGAAAAAAAAAAAAAGCCAGTTCTACAGAGATTAGCATACCAATAGTTTCCTAGGCTCTTCATGCTGCCTGGGAGTCAAGGCCTACGGCTGCCAAAAAAACAAGTGTAAAATGTTTCATACAAATAGTGCTATAATTTGCCAATCTGTAGAAAGAAAACAGTAGTACCACTGAGTTATCACTCCCTTTTTTGAACTCCTATAGCATTTCTTGTCAGAACCACACATTTTGGTATTTAATCATATGCTGCCTTGAATTACAACTTAACTGTTTCATATGTCTGTGTCATTTCTCCTCAAGTAAGCTCTAAGCTCCTCAAAGGAAGAGAGAAGGTCTTTAATATTTCTTCAACAAATCCCTCAGTGTCTCCCAGCATGATATGCAAATACTAGGGTTTCAATAAATATTTTTGAATGAGTGGATGAAATTTCTATAGATCCATTCTGTTGGTGATTTTTCTTTCTAGAGTTTCCCTGTGACTTATATGTGACTCCTACTTACAGTAAAGAGACTATTTTTAATGTAAACTAAAAGTTCACATCTGGGGTTGAAAGGAAACAAATTAGAAATTAAAGTTTTTAAGTTTACCTTTTGTGGAAAAAAAAAGAAGATATATAATAAACCTTTTATTTCCTATTTTGTATAAGGTAAAAACAAAATCTAACCACGTTATGCAACTAAACATGAATTTTTTACTTAGAAAACACCTCTGAAATTTCTAAACTCCCATTCCTTGCTTCTTACCAGTTAAAAAAAAAAAAGCAAACTGTGACACCAAGAATGTATAACCAGATGGTCAACCAACAACAGTGTCTTATTACTTCTCCAATATTGCAGATTATAAAATCTTCATGACAGCACATTACCCACACATTCAAACTTCTGAAGGAGGGGAGAGCAGATCTGAGAGTTCCCACATTTTGGTAAACAAAAGCAGTTACTTTGAAATGATCCCTTTGGAGAGCTATCCCTCTCATTCCTGTGTATGAACAAAGGCAATGGTTAAGTGCACAAACACTTAAGCCATTGCCCAAATAAAAGTGAAATCGCTTTATTGGACGTTTGGTGCGGCTGATCCTCAATTAGGCACTCTCCGATAGGCTGATTTCTTAACCGGCTTTATTTCATTTTCTTCAGGCCACAGAAAGGAGGGAAGTTGGATTCGGATTAGGATGAGCACATTCTGGAGAAAATGGCAGAGATAGATTTGCTTTCCTTACCCTAAGCTACTGTCTTTACTCCATCCGCTAATGAGAGTCTATCCATAAGTCCTAAGATTCCTGATCAGTATTTTATTTTTCTAGTCCTTTATTCAGCTAGATCGCATGCCTACATGATAAGGCCAACGTGCCGCATTAGCCTATGTACAAATTAAAGCCAGCTCAGATGCAAAGGAAAAACTGCCTGAAGAAAAAAAAAAAAAGAAGAAAAATAGGGCCGGCCAAGTGACACATTGGTTAAGAGCTGGCTTGGGACGCCAGAGGATGCGGGTTCAGATCCCACATATGAGGGCCAGTGACACTGCCCTCCACAGCTAAGATGCTGAACAACAGCTCAACCTGGAGCTGGGCTGCCATGAGTCGCCAGCGATGGCATAGGCTGCAGCCCCTGTGGCAGTGTGTTGCCATGGGCTACCGTGTATAGCCAGCAGCTAGCGTGAGCGGCCAGCAGCCGCAGTGAGCGGCAGTCCAGAAGCCGGCGACTGATCTGCCTCACCCAGGAAGAGAGCAATGATGGTGCCAACTTGGGCCAGTGAAGCAACGTCCTCCACAACTAGACTGAAGAACAAAACAACAGCAACTTGTCTGTTCCCCTTCCCCCAATTCCCCAGCGCTGTTCCCATCCCCCCAATTCCCCAATTAAAAAAAAAAATCTTTAAAAAAAAAATAATAATAACTTTCCTTGGCGTAAAACATTGTATGTGGAAACAACTTAGTGAATGAAACTATTTAAGAAGGCCTGTTCTTATCAGTTTGTTATAAAATCTGTTGTAGAGCCTAATTTATTAAAAGTAATAAAAGACCGTGGCCAGGTGGCTCAGTTGGTTAGCGCATAAACTCTGAACACCAAGGTTGCCGGTTAGATTCCCACATGGGCCAGTGAGCTGCGCCCTCCACAACTAGATTGAAGACAACTACTTCAGCTGAGCTACAGCTGAGCTGCCGGTGGACGGCCAGATGGCTCAGTTGGTTAGCGCATGAACTCTGAACACCAAGGTTGCCGGTTAGATTCCCACATGGGCCAGTGAGCTGCGCCCTCCACAACTAGATTGAAGACAACTACTTGAGCTGAGCTACAGCTGAGCTGCCGGTGGACGGCCAGATGGCTCAGTTGGTTAGAGCGTGTGCTCTTAACAACAAGGTTGCCAGTTCAATTCTTTCATGGGATGGTGGGCTGCGTGCCCCCCTGCAACTAGATTGAAAATGGCGACTGGACTTGGAGCTGAGCTGCACCCTCCACAACTAGATTGAAGGACAACAACTTGACTTGGAGCTGATGGGTCCTGGAAAAAACACATTGTTCCCCCAAATAACACATTGTTCCCCAATAAAGTTAAAAAAAGTAATAAAAGTTTGATACTGCCACTCAACATATAAGTATGTGGATTACCCCTATTTCATAATAAAGTATGTTCAAAACCCGGGCCCCAGCTCATGAACAGGGGGATTCCAGATAATTGCTTCTAACTTTGCTGCTTAGAATTCAGAAAATATTTTCATACTGTGGGTTTGCTTCCTGCATTTATGGAAATCTGTCTAAACCCTAATATCCTCGAGTGACTACCCCACCGTGCACCTGCACAGAGGGAACATTGCCCCATGCCAGGCACTGGTCTGAGTGTTTGCAGTTAGCACTTTCTCATAGGTCCTTACAAAACCTCAATCTACAGGGACGAAACAGAGGCTCAGTGAAGTGCAATACCATGCCAAGGTCACACAGCTACAAGTGACAGAAGTCTGGTTTCAGAATCACACACTTGGCTACTCACTGCATGACCTCCTATGAGCCCTAACTGCCATTTAATAAGGTGCACAAGATAAAGACGTGCTGAGCTCCTCCTAGCTTCCTGGGGCCTCAACAGTGGTTGGAGGCTGGGGCAGGGGCTGGGCCAGGATGAGGAGACAGAGACGAGGGCCCCAGAAGCAGAGAATAAAAAGGTGAGGCAGTCTCTAGGGTGAAAAGGGTAGCAAGGATTTGGGAGGGGAAAGGATTCTGGGAGGCCTCTAATTTTTATCTATCACCAGCCCTGAATACAGAACATTCAACTATAGGTTAGAATTCCAGGAGGCCCCCAACTTACAAATCTATTGTGTTCCCAAAAATTTGCTTGCAAACCATCTGTTTGTAATATGGAGCATGCTTTTCTCC